TTATAAGGATATTTTAAACAGTTTAAACATTTAATTACCAACTTGAACAAGATTTTAATACTTTAAACAAAACCGCCGCCACTGACCCAATTAAAGTGAAAATTATTTTTTTTTATTCTGAAAAGCAATGTAAACCCAATTCTATTCATAAAATCAGTTTTTTAGTTTAAAAATACATTTATGGGAGAAGATATCTACTATTTTACAAATTTTAAATATTTTTATAGAAATTTTAGTTTTATTACAAAAATGTTACTTTTTATTCTAATAGATACTAAAGGCACTATATAATATATATAGCAACAGCAGCCCAGCAGATAAGACCTGAAGATGGTACATGAGATGGTACCGAAACGTCGTCAGACATACGGTTCTTTTAAGAACCAAAAACCGACAACACGGAGCAGATCCCGAAAAACCACTAATACATATAACGCCCATGGAAACCTAAAGCAGAACTTATATATAAATTAAAAAACGTAAAAAATGAGATCTAAACGCAAAAACCTGCCTGTTTATAATAGTTGGTTTTTATGATAACGCTTTTCGCTTTTGACATTTGCAGCGACATTTCTTTATGCATTGTTTAAAATCTTTAAATGAGTTGTGAAAGCGAATAAAGTTAACTACAAAGAATACATTATTAAAAAAGGTGTGGGAACAAAAAATAAAGCAACAGAAAACATGCAGTATGTTAAATGCAGCGAAAGTCTAAAGAGAAGAGCAAAAAACAAGGAGAAGAAAATCATAGAATGTTTCAGTTAAATTAAAAATTTTAATTATTTACCAATACATTGGTAGTTCAATTTAACAAGTAAACAATCAGTTTTTCATTTAAATTCAATTATTGTAATATAACTTTGCGAATGCAAAATTATGTGTACATTCTGCAGAATGTGGCCATTAAACTAACCAAGCGTGGATTGAATATTGCCACATGCATAATATTACATTTTGTATTGTCCTTTATTGTGTTAGTTTCAATGCCCTATAGTAATTGTGTTATTATTTAATATTTTCTTGTGTAAAACCCAAAATTTACAATTATATATAGTTTAAATGTTGGGACATAAATAACTATTTCATATGAAATTGTTGTGAAATGAGAGTTCCCCAAAAACTATTCACTTGAGGTATATGAGACATTCTTTTACATATCGTACGGATTACAGAAAACATATTTTTTCAAATTTTTAAAATGACTTAATTTTTTTTTACAGCATCTTTTCATAAATTTAGCCGACCCCTATATCGGAATTTTTGCAGAAAATTTATTTTTCCAAAGATATATTGATTTAAACTTTTGATAAAATTTGAAAAAATGCTGAATTCTTTTGTACTTAAAATTCATTATCTCCGGTTCTACTGATCGGATCGATTTCATTTTTTTTTTATTTTAAACCATATTACATAGTCTTTTTAGATAAATATTTAAAAAGTTTGTGTTTTGTTTATTATATGAAAAAAATATTTTTTTTTGTATAAACAGATTTTTTGTGTTTGCCCCCTCTATGAAAAAAAATTAAAAAAATACTGTTCTATGCACTATTTATTACTCTACAAAATGAATTTTTCAGAAAAATGGAGACTTTTTTGGATCGGAAGATATTAAATATTTTCGAGCGCGTGACCAGTACAAGCCGTAAGGGGGCATCCATTAATTACGTGAGGCGTTTAGGGGAGGGAGGGGGTCAAGCCAAATCTCATCAATTCTCACGTAAGGGAGAGGGGGGGGTCTCGGCAAATATCACGTAATTTTTAACAAAGTATGTTTTTTTAATAAATCCAACAGAATCAAGCAGTTTAACGTATAAGCATTAAAAATAATCATTTTTTAAAATCTCACGTGAGATTAGGGGGAGGGGGTTGAGCCAAATCTCACGACATCTCAGCAAGGGGGGAGGGGGTCAAAAAATCGCTAAAATTGACTCACGTAATTAATGGACACCCCCTAATCAGACATCTTCGAAACGCTAACACATTTAGGATTAGTGATGCCGCCGATACGAGAGATTCTCGCCTCTCGTCTCGTCTCGTCTCGACGAGACGAGAGGGAGATTTTCTCTCGAAAAAAGGCTCGAGACGAGACGAGAGAATGCCCTCTCTCGCTCTAGAATTTCTCGTTTCTCTCGATCTCTCTCGTTCTCTCGATTATTCCGGTAATAAGTAAACAATTTTTTTAAATAAAAATTTTAATTTTGCGATATTTATTTGGACCAATGAGAACATTATTCGCATTTCATAATAAACAAAATTTGTTCCTGTATAACGTTTTATTATTTTATAACACAACTTAAGGTTAACCAAGAAAAAAATTACTTATAAAATAATATTAATTTTTAAAATTTACCCTGTATAAGCACATTTATGGCACTCCTTATACTATTAAACAACCCGTATGCTTAATAAGCATTGCTTATTCAATGAACTTATCAACAACATGTGGTTTTTGAGGGGCTGATTACAAATTTGATATCCATTTCTTCAAAAAATAAAATGGCTGATCCAATATGACGAAAATTTGTCGTTCGGCTTTAATGGTTTGGGTAAAATTTAGTATTTAGATATTTATGGGGTCCCTGATTAAGAATTTGATATCCATTCAAAAAACAAAATTGCGGATTCAAAATGACGGACATGCGCAGTAGGTACAAGATGGTTGGATCTATGTGGAGTAGTTACATCATATAGACGCAGTAGTTTTCAGATGGATGGATGATTTGATCCATCCATCTGAAAACTACTGCGCCTATATACTACACTGAGAAAAAAAATGGGACAAATAAACTGTGTAGTTAATCCTTTTATTAATAGTGAATATATTGTTTATTACCTCTAAATAGTCGAAATAATAACGATAAATATAAATATATATATAAATATTTTTTTTATTTGGGAGCAATAAACTTTTTTCTCAGTGTTACAGTTACATCTATAGATGTAACTACTCCACATAGATCCAACCATTTGATTCAAATGTGCGACATTTTCGGCGTAAAAAGTCTTACTTTATCAGTGTGGTCTTGGCACAATTTTTTTTTTATTTCCAGTTTAAATTTATATAGAAAAAATATAAACGAATACGTATTTAATTGCAAATAATTTTTGTATTCATACATAGGTACTTACCACGAGAAACGAGACGAGACGAGAGACCCATTTTCTCTCGCTGCACGAGACGAGACGAGAGAAGGACTTTTCTCGTCTCGTCTCGTCTCGCGGCATCACTATTTAGGATAGTGTAAACTCATACATCGTTTTAAAAAAATACCAGCGCTTTTTGTAAATTAATTCTGATTTTAAAGGTTTTCAATAATTTTAAATAAATTAAATTTTAAATAATACAAACTCCAATTAATGAGTAAATTTAAGTAAATTTATTAACTGGCAGAATTGACATTTGCACAAATAAGTCACCAATTAAAAGATGTCGAATCATGGCACTCTTATACAAAATATCACGTCACCCGCCACATGCACTAATACGTTTGAATATTACGCGCTTGACAGTCCTGTCACGCGCTCGAAAATATTTAATATCTTCCGATCCAAAAGAGTCTCCACTGTTCTGAAAAATGTATTTTGTAGATAAAGAAAAAGCGCATAAAATAGTATTTTTTTCCTTTTATTTTATAGAGGGGGCAAACATGAAAAACTAGTTTAAAAAATTAATCTGTTATTAACTCCCTATACCAAAAAAAAAAAAAAATTTAATTTATTTATTTGAAAAGCCTATTCAATAAGGTTTAAAACAAAAAAAAAACAAAATCGATCCGATTAGTAGAACCGGAGATAATGGGTTTTATGTAGAAGAGAATTTATCGTTTTATCGCAATTCATAAAAACTTTATATCAACATATCTCTGAAAAAACAAATTTTTTACAGAAAACCTGATACACGTATCTGCTTATTTACTGAATAGAAGCGGTAAAAAAATTTTCATGCGAATCCAAACCCTGATGTCAAAATAGGTGTACGATTTGTAAAAGAATGTCTCATATGAGTCATATAATATGACATGGTAAAGACATTTTACTCAGAATTTGGGGTGTTCTATTTGAAATAACAAAGTTGATGTCACTTCCGGTTAAACCGGAAATGGAATTTTGTTTAAAGTATTTTGGAAAGATAGACTAAAATGGATTATAATCGATTTTAAAATTTCAAATCGCTATCTTTTTTCGTTTCCCAGAAACTAATCGACCACGAATGTAAAACACACTGTATGATTTAAAAGTACTTTTTTAAATTCATTTGTAATGTTTGTTTTAACATTTTTGCAGATTGATTTATTATTTTATCAATGCTTTTTAAATCAATAATTTGTTACATTTACCAAGAAATAATTAAATTACTTTTATTTCGGGGTTTGTTGGTTGCATGTAAATGAACTTTACAGTACAGTTAACAAAAGGTTTTTTATTTCGCACGTATTTTGTATTTAATTGAACACATACATATTCACTTTGTTTGTAATTAAACAAAGCTTTGCTATTTGGTTTATTTCATAAAAAATATTATTTGTAGACATTAATATATAATTATAATAAATATTTTTTTATCTTCTTTGTTAATTTAAGCTTTAAATAATAAAATTGAAAATGTACGATTCTCTTTTTGTTTTAATAAATCACGAAAAACCTGACAAGCATTTTTCCTTTTTAAATCCATATATCTAAAAAATAATTTAAAATGAATATGTAGAATACATTTTTAATGCATATTGCATTTTTGTGACAAAACGTTATATTTTTATGTAAGGAAAAAATATCCCGGAGCATTCGCCATTTTTGCAACTTTTTATTAAAAATACTCTTTACATTAAATTTTTGTAGCTAAATAATTTATAAAATATCATAACAGAATATTTATTTATATTAATTATTACATTGAATAATTAAAGCATCATACAAAATGTAATTAATATAAATATTATACATAGACATAAGTAAAATTATAATAAATAAATTAAAAACAATAAAAAATAAATTAACAATTAAATGTTATATTTAAACACATTAGCCACTCCTCTTCTTTCCAATGCTAACAATAGTATCTAAAAATAAAAAAAAGATACTTTTATAAAATGTTTATTTTTGACATTATAAAACCTCAGGGAACTTTATAACGTATCCATGGAGTATACAAAACATGGATAAACCTTAGATCAAACAATGCATGAATCCCCTGTAAATTTTTAAAGCCCAATAAAACTGATTTTATCCTTACCAATTAATCTCTTAGATAGCTGACTATTTTTTCTAAAACTTGCCGATGCTTCTATGGTAAAATTTGTTGATATGTTTATATTCTTTACAAACAAACTTTTAATCCACCTTGGCATTTTTTTGGAATCGTTTCTTTTAAAAAGGTAAATCAACTCTTCCAGCTGCCTCAAAAAATCTGCTTGTTTTTCCAGTTTTTTTGACAAACTTGCTTTTTGTAGACCTAAAGTACATACAATAGACTGGGCCAAAAAAATCGACTATTTTCTTTTGGAAAATATATCGAAAATATTGTTTGGGGTAGCAAAAAAAAATTATGGTGAAAGTTTGAGTCCATAATATTAAGAGGTCTATCATTGCAATTTTAGATTTTTTTTTCCTGAGCGAGTTTTTGTCTCAGAACTCCCAAATCATTGAGTTTAACAAAATTGACTTGAAAATATTTTTTGAAGAAAATTGAATGCTCTACAAAAAAGGTTTTATTGGAATTTCCCGTCAGATGAACCCTTTTCTTACAATCATGCCTTAAAAATTGGTATAGTTTTACAATTTGATCTTTTAACTTTGGAATTTTGGAATTCAAGTAAAAATCAGTACCCTGAAAAAAAACGATAAATATTCTTATGGGAAATCAAATGCTCTACAAAAAATTTTTTTTATAATTTTTGGCTAAATTCACTCCATCAAAAGTTATTCAAGGTTAAATTTGAAGTCAAAACGAAATTTTAACCTTGAATAACTTTTGATTGAGTGAATTTAGCCAAAAATGTTAAGAGGCTTTTTTTTAAAGCATTTGATTTCCCATAATAATATTTATCGGTTTTTATGGGTACTAATTTTTACATGAATTACAAAATTCAAATTTAAAAGATCAAAATGTTAAACTATACCAATTTTTAAGGCATGATTTTAAGGAAACGGTTCATCTGACGGAAAACTTCAATTTTAACCTTTTTAATTTTCTTAAAAAAATATTTTCAAGTCAATTTTGTTAAACTCAATGGTTGAGGAGTTCTGAGCCTAAAACTTGCTGGGGAAAAAAAATAAAATTGCGATGATAGACCTCTTAATATTAATATTATGGACTCAAACTTTCACAATAATTTTTTTTGTCACCCCAAACCATATTTTCGATATACTTTTCAAAAAAAAATTTTTGGCCCAGTCTAACACACAAGTAATATAATAATGTGTTGTGAAATATATTTGGGGTTTGCAGGTTTTTTACATTTCTGACTAAAATAAGGTACTACAAGTCAAAGCTCACCTTGTATATCGCTAACCGCCAACCCAACCATTAAATTCATTAAAACGACGCTGGTTAAGATAATAAAGGACAAGTACATGACCTGCGAGGCAACGTTCACATGAAGAGCGTACTTTTCCGAATGAAAAAGCCCTTTGTATTCCAATTCGCCCATCATCATCACCGAAGTTTTAACCAGAGATAGCCAGGGAGTGCTGAACTGCTTGACGTCATAAAATTGTATTGAGAACGATAAGGCGAATCCTATCATTAGGCAAAGAAATGTGGCTAGGACCTAACAAAAAGTCAAAAAATAATTTTATTTATTATTTAAAATTAATATTTTATCATGTTTTGAAAAATATTTATATATTGTAAAATACTTAATACACAGTGTTGGTCAAACTTAAAATTAAATAGGATTTTTTGGTCTTAAATTTTTGTCCATTAAGTTGTCTTATCTTGTTTCGTTTAGAAGATACTAAACGACATGTTTAAAATAACACAGGAATATGTTTATGATATTTTTTATTGTGTTTAACCATACTGTATTTAAGTATGATCTTGTAGAAGACAACTTTTTTAAATAGGTTCCCAATCCTAATTTGATTAACACCGGTTTGGCCTGCCAAAGTAGAAAATTACAATATTTTTTTTTCATGGCAGGGTTTTTAAAATAAAAAATGTTTTTTTTTTTAAATGCAGCTTTACTTTTTGTGTCATATCTCATGTTTGAAATGGCCAATTGTATTGATATCAAATTTATATTATGTAAATATAAACTATACTGTTTAAAAGTTTCACTATTTTATTTAAATATGTCAATTGTTTCGCTACACAGTAGCATCTTCAGATCGTGTAGCAAAACAATTTTCATATTTAAATAAATGTCAAAGTTATGTCAGTTTATGTAAAGGTAGCCATTTCAACTTTTTGTTTCGTAGCGTATATTGCAGTTTAATTTAAGTTACTGACGTTTTTTGGTTTAAAACATTAAATTTTACGTTGTGATATCGCTGTTGTATGCTACTTTCTTACTTTTAAAATTTGATACAATGGGTGAAAAAAAACAAGATTTTGAGTGCCAAAATAGCCCAGATGATTAACCTAAACATTTTTTAAGTATAATGTTAATATTAACTACACTATTTAAAAGTTTCACTATTTTATTTACATATGACAACAATTATTGTTTCGCTACACCGTAGCATCTTCAGATTATATTAGGGTTTAAAAAAAACAGAAAAATTGACTTTTTTATTTTTTAAATTTTATTCAAAGGGTAAAACGAAAAAAAGCAAATGTCAATTTTTTAAAAATTTCCAAATTTTTACGGATAGTATCCGTTCACTGATATAGAGAAAAAAGTGAATTTCCGACGCTGATTATAATCATATAATATTATGATTATAATCATATAATATTACTTTTTTTTAATTCAGTAAGAATATTCTACCGGAATGCAAAAAAACCTATTCGGTGCTGTATTAACATAACTTTTATTTAAGACTTCGATAAAATTATAATTTTGTAATTAAACTTTATAAATCATTCATTATTTTATAGTTAATATATTTTTAATGGACTACTTTTTGCAACAACAAAAAACCCAACAGACAGTATATTTCGCATTTACGTTTATTTTCTTAAATTTAATTTCATGTTTAGTTTTATTTTTTTTTGTAATAAAGGATTTTTTTTATTTAAAATAATGTTATCTTGTTGATTGCCACTTTTTTTCAAATGTGTAGGTATATTTTTCCCAAAAAAGCCAATTTTCCTAAGGCCTGGGAAAAAACGAAAAAAAAAACAGTTTTTACCCAATTTTTCCGGTTTTTTCCGACACTTTAAACCCCTAGATTGTATACAAACTAATATTAATTTTCTATTTATATAAATGATGGTTTTACAGGTAATATTTTTAGTACAATATTGGGGGTAGATTAAATTAGCGTTATAAAATAAAAGAGCAATACTTATGAGAATGCCCTGTAATCAGTTTAGTCATATAACACTATACTTTTTGAATATATTAAAATAAGTTTAATAGCGGAGAATTGGTTTCTATTTGGTCATTGAGAATAATATCAGTTTTCTTAAATTTGTTAATTTCCAATAAATTTAGATTCATACCTTTGTTTTCCAAATGTAAAATTTTAAAGTTAGTATTGAAATTATAATTGTCATTTATATAAGATGGTTTGCAAAGGTGGAATCTGTTTTGTGGTTTATAAATGATTTCCTATGTTCCTTTATTCTAGTTTTAAAGCTACGACCTATTTGTCCTATATATGTTTTAGGGCAATCTGCACAAGTTAATTGGTAAACATCTGATTTTTTATATTTTCTTGTCTTATCTTTATTATTTTTAATGAAATTTCTTAAATTGTTGTGAATGTGTGAATGTGAATTTTATGTTGTTTTTGTTTAAAAAAGAACACAACTGTCTCATATTAGTATCTAAGTATGTAAGTTTTAAGTTACAATAGGTTATAATGATATACAGTGTGGAACATTGTACATATCTTATAAATAAACAGACCTATTTAAAAAAATAAAACACCGTTGTATAGGAATTTTAAAGATTTTTAAAATAATTTATTACTCGATACCCCTTCCCTATTCAAAATCTTAAGGGGCTAGCTCCTGAAAGCAGGGTGTAAGGGGGAACCAAATTTTTCCATGAAAATTCGTACCCCTTGATATAAAACTTTACGTGTCTTGGCGTTTTTTTTCAATTCTTTCAGTTTTCGAGAAATTTAGGGTGATTAGTTTTAAATGGAACATACTGTATTTTAATATTAAAACGTAAAACGAAATTTTTTTAAGTGTAAAAAGGTTCCAAATATTTGTAAAAAACTAAATTTCGGAAAAAATGGAAATGTTTACTTCTTGCTTTGACCCCTTTAATTATCAATAAATTTATTTCAAAAATATCTTGTTTTTTTATAGCAGTTTTTACTTCACGTAATTTAAAAATTGACATACTTTAATGATTTTTATTCATCCTTGGCAAAGAAAATAATGTTGCATTCTTATTTTTGTCGCAAAAAAACTTTTTTTTATATTTAAGCCCATTGAACTTAAGCTAATTAACTGATTGGGTACTAAGAAAGTCATATTTGTCTGCGACTTGAATATGTTTATTTGACACTTTTTAAAACCAGACTGGCCATTTTTAAACCGAAATATGACCCAAATTGTAAAGCTATTTCAGAAATTTTTTTATCTCAAATACATTGCCATACAACTTTTTTCTTTGTGATTTTTAAGTTTCAACAAGTAATACATTAGAAAAAATAGTGGCAAACCAGTGTAATATTAATAATATTAAATAAGTTACTATCTCAAATTTATAGAGACCATAAAGTGTCAATTTCAGTGTTTATTTTATACAAAAATGAAGTACCTATCTGTAACGGTATTTGTAACATAAAACTATCAAATAACATTTGGAATGCATCTGAATGTAAAACAAAACCTCGTTAAATGCACAACCGCGATTTTGATGGCATGGCATTGCTTAAACATGGAGAGTCGTAAAAAACAGCATCATCATAAACCAAGTGGCCGCACAGTGATTTTATTTGCAAATGGCATTAAAAACCACCTCGAAACACTCGTTTAGGTTTAACTTTTAAACCTCTGAATGATTTTTTAATAATTAATGTGATTCAGATCTGGGCTAAGTGGAGAATTTCCGGAACAAATTCGACTTCATAATCTTGCGAAATTTTGATCAAAATAGGGATAGTTTAACGCAATAGATAATGTACAGGGTGTTTATATTATTATAAATTTTATATCAATATAAAGTTTATAATTTTTTTATAAATGGATCATTTTCAAGAAACACCCGCTTTCAGGAAAATGAAGATTAAAATATTTTGTTTTTGCTTAAATTGACTTTTGGTTGGATTTTTATAAATGTTTAGAGTTTTGTTTACTTACATTTAAGATAGGCACTTTTTAATTTTTTTTAAGTTTTTTTTAGAAAAATGTGTTTAGCTAGCTTTATATATCTCTGTGTTACCAATTTGAAATCCAAAATTTAATTCAATAAAAAAGTTGTTATAAAAATAATTTGAAATAAAATGTACTTAGCTCACAAACTTTTGACTCCAATTTTTTATTTTATTTTTTATTAAAAATTGTATGCTTTTTTTTTAAATATGTATGTTCGTTAAGTTACTTTTTAAAAGAAACCATTCCTATTCTTTGTTAAAAAAACAATTCCATTAATATTTTCTTTTAGTCACTGTATTAGTGAATTAAACTCTAATTTATAAACACGTATTACCAAGTGATAGTGTATAAAAATCATTTTAAGTATTTTTTTTTAACAAAAACTAAAATAAGTAACGAAATAGAGATTGGTATCACAACGGACAGGGGTACACAAAGGACTTAATCAGATAACGTAAAAAAGAAACTATATATGGTGGTACGATTTTAGAGTAATGCATAAACAAAATCCCTTGTAGTGGTGCTCACTTGCAGAATAAAAACTTAGATTATTTGACTATAAGCTGGTGAAGGTCCCTTTTAGTACTTTTTTATTGGGTGGAATTTTTCCTTGGATGTAATCTATATCAGTTGTAATTACAAATAATTTTAAATTGGTTAATCATAAACTACTTTTAATAAAAGCGACGGTAAATATCCACTTTGTTGTCGAAAAATTCTATTGAGTTACCATAAATTCCATTGCGTTACCATAAGGTAACATAGTGGACTCGGTAACGCAGTGGACAAAGTTTTGTAAAACTATATTTAAAAAATAATAATAAGACATTATAGTCATTAATTACTCTCAATGAGCTTTAGTGCCCTAAAATAAACATAAACATTCTTTCTTACCTTATTATTTTTTTTTTTGAGTAACTTAGCGGACAAACAATTATTACATTCGCGTTACTCGCACCTGTTTCAACCGATATCTTCTTCCTGATTGAATAAATAAATTCAGCTGGGTAATGTGTACGTCCGAACATCTATTGTTGATCACGTGAGTACCAAAAAAGTTGCCATATATGTGTTTTTTAATATTCTATCGGTAACGCGACGGACGTAACGCAACGGAAAAAATGTCTGGGACATGAGTCAAATTTAAAAAAAGTAGATTAAAATTAATTATTTTATATATAAATTGTTTACTGTATTAACTAAGGATGTTATGGATTGCTATAAAGCAACACAAAGTTCTGGTTATTCAATATTTAAAAAAAAAACATATATGTAAGTTTTATAAAACGCTAATGGGAAATGCAAAAATGTGTGTTTCACAAGTTTCAAAATTAAAAAAAAATTATTCTGAAATAACTAAACAAAAATTTTCTGAAAGAGTTTACTAAGGGCTTGTTAGGCTTTCACTTGGTTTTTAAATCAATAAGATCCGATAATTTTTAACAAAGTTATTGGAATTCAAACTTACGGACAGCGGAAGGCGGGTGTTTTTTGAAAACGACCCATCAATATAAAGTTTATACATTTTTTATAAATACAAAGTGACTTTTTCCTTAGATTAAATTGCAATTTAGTCGTCGAGTAAAATTTTTTATGAAAATGTTCACAATAACTTAAACGGCTTTATCGTTGAATAAATTAATTAATCAATCCCAAAATACGCTTTATAAATTCTATTTTTAATTTGTCCAATAAATTTCGGCTACATTAATTACGTCTCCTTTCCAGAGGGCGGGCTGAAAAAAAAAGAGCACAAAGCTTATTGACACTCGCTTTTTCAAAATTAATTATCGAAATTTACCCCCTTAGGTCTCTAATGATTGGATTTGGCTTATCTGTCCCTATTTACTTTAACGACATTAGGTTTAGGCAACTTCCTGACTTTGTGGGATTAAAATAATAGTTACGTGGATCAAGCGGCTTAAATTTGCGGATTTGCTCCTTCTCTAAAAACACATCTACCATCAACACTCTATTATACTATTGTACTTTGTTACTCGCTAAGGAAACTTTTGTTTTTTATATACCCTTAAATATCTGGTATTTCTACACAAGGGTGATTCAAAAAAACCTTTTTTTTTGTATATTTCTCGGAACCACGCTCAAAAGTTTCGTATAGATATAAAAATGAGCCTGTGAAAAAATGATACGAAAATCGAAAAGTGCGATGCGGAGCATCTTAATTTTGAAATTAAGAGCTCATTTTTTCACAGGCTCATTTTTATATCTATACGAAAAATTTGAGAGTGGTTTCGAGAAAAAAAAACAAAAAAAAGGTTTTTTTGAATTACCCTTATCTACACCAAACTCAAAAGCTTACTAGACACAATGCAATATTATTAATTACAAAAAAATGTTTGATCATCAAATAAAATATTTTTCTAACTGATTAAGAACGCTAGAAAAATTAACGATAATCCGATAAAATCATTTTCAATTAATCTCCTCCGGATTTAATTGCAGTGGAATGCCACGTGAGCAATATCATAAACTGTAGATTTTGAGGGCTGGGCTGGGCCGAATTTGTCAACAGAATTATGGTAGGATGGTACAAAAGTGCCCACCAATCAGTTTCTGTATTTGTTTGTAGCGAACAAATTATAATTTTAATAATTATTTTTGAAAAAAGTTTGTTTAACATATATTTTGGTAAAAAACATATACAGAGTGTCCCAAAAATTATAATTTTTTGACGGTAATTTTTTTTCAAGCGTTTAATGAGTCTGTGCTTATATTTAAATTCTCGAGTCATTGGTTTAAAGTTTGACATATGTAGTATTATAGGCTGTGTATAAATTTATTTTACAGTGATATGTAACTTTTAATTATCTGCAGTGATTTCGAGCTAAATGCAATAGATGGAACCACTCTTTCTATGCATTTTCATTATTGTACGGCGGTATATAATAATTTGACTTTTGAACTGCCTACAATAAAAAATCATTATTTTTTTACAAGTAAAGTAGAAATTATGGGCCGCCACTGGTTGTTCCTGTCCTATGACAACTGACGCAAAAATTCTTTCACAGTAATACTCTTCATTTATTAAAAATTTACATTTGTGCTATCATTGATTACTTTGTTGATAATTGTTTCAGCTATTTTTAGGTATTTTAAATAAAACAATACTTATTTTTTATTGTAAGGTATCTCGAGGTTTCCGTTGTTTTCCCGTCGATTGATGCTCATGTAGCTATTTTTTAAGTGTTCCACAATATCACAATAAATCTTATCCCGCCGTTATTGTCCACACTAAGTTGACAGTGGAGAAGAAAATTATGATGTGTCGATCTTGCTATCATATCCGGATGATTTCGGATTTCAAAAATAAATACATGTTATCTGATATCTGTCAGATGATTAACCTCACTTTTTACCAATTTTAATATTAGTTTAGTCGCCTTCTCCCTATTTGAAACCTGATTGGTCCCAATCACAATGTATAATAAAATTGGCCAATAACTGATGGTTGGTTATAATGGTTATCATTGTATATGAAAAACTAACATTATATAATAAATAATGTACTATTTTTATTTATTATAATATTTTTTTTCTAAATAATTGCATAAAAACTTTCTTTAGACTGTTTTTTCTCAAAAAAAAAATCATTTTATTTTCACAATAATCCACTTAACCATTCAGAACAAAATAACAATAAGGACTCTTATACTACATTACCTTACTCCGGATTCATCTCTATCTACCTTAATAACGTTTTGCAAGACGGCGGCAAACATTAGTGCATAGTATCCGAAAGTTGGCAATCGTCCAATTAACAGCATTAATTCTATCCAGGCCAGAAGCACGGCAATGCTAGTTACGTGAAGCACCCAATTAGGGCTTTCTGCAAACAAAAAAAACATTTATGTGGCTCGACAAAGCTACCATGTAACACAATGGCTAATTTACCGTGTTTGATTCAAAAATCATGAAATTGATACTTAATAAAAAATGCATATTTTATTTTATCCCACCAAACTTTATTCTCGTAAGCCACTGGTTAAATTTGATAATAAGTAAGATTTCTTATACTTTAATTTTTAAGTTTTAACAACAAATGTGGCGTAGAAGTGCCAAAGGGCTTATGTGTCAATATTTGGAATTTTGAGATTTTTTGTTAAAAACATAGTACACAAAACCAAACTTATATATAATAAAAAAAAAGTGATTTGGAAATAAAAATCACCTTATCTGAACCAATTTTATTATAAAAATAAAGAGAATCTATTAAAACAAATTTTCTACAGAACAGAATACACTTTTTAATTTTTTTTACGTTTTTTTTAGAAAAATGTGTTTAGCTAGCTTTATATGTCTCCTCTGTGTTACCAATTTGAAATCCAAAATTTAATTCAATAAAAAAAGTTGTTATAAAAATAATTTGAAATAAAATGTACTTAGTTCACAAACTTTTCACTGCAATTTTATTTTTTATTAAAAATTATATGCCTTTTTTAAATATTTATGTTAGTTAAGTTACTTTTTAAAAGACACCATTCCGATTCTTTGTTAAAAAAACAATACAATTAATATTTTCTTTTATTCACTGTATTAGTGAGTTTAACTCTAATTTATAAACAGGTATTACCAAGTGATAGTAAAATCATTTTAAGGATTTTTTTTTACAAAAACTAAAAAAAGTAACGAAATAGACATTGGTATCACAACGGACTGGGGTACACAAAGGACTTATCAGATAACGTAAAAAAGAAACTATATAGGGTGGTACGATTTTAGAGTAATGCATAAACCCTTGTAGAGTTGCTTACTTGCAGAACAACAACTTAGATTTCTAAATTATAGACACCTTTTTTCTTTGACTATAAGCTGGTGTCTTTTGGTACTTGTATATTGCGTGGAATTTTCCCTAGGATGTAATCTATATCATGAGTTGTAATCACAAATAATTTTAAATTGGTTTATCATAAACTACTTTTAATAAAAGCGACGGTAAATATCCACTTTGTTGTCGAAAAATTCTATTGCGTTACCCTAAATTCCATTGCGTTACCATAAGGTAACGTAATGGACTCGGTAACGCAGTGGACAAAGTTTTGTGAAACCATATTTAAAAAATAATAATAAAATATTACAGTCATTAATTACTCTCAATGAGCTTTAGTGCCCTAAAATAAACATAAACATGAAAAATAGTATTTTTTCTAACCTTATTTTTATTATTTTTTTGAGTAACTTAGCGGACAAACAATTATTACATTCGCGTTACTCGCACCTGTTTCAACCGATATCTTCTTCCTGATTGAATAAATAAATTCAGCTGGTTAATGTGTACGTCCGAACATCATTTGTTGATCACGTGAGTACCAAAAAAGTTGCCATATATAAATATATATATATATATATATATATATATATATATATATATATATATATATATATATATATATATATTAATATTCTATCGGTAACGCGACGGACGTAACGCAACGGAAAAAATGTCTGGGACATGAGTCAAATTTAAAAAAGTATATTAAAATTAATTAATTTATAAATATATAAATTGTTTACTTTATTAACTAAGGATGTTATGGATTTCTATAAAGCAACACAAAGTTCTGGTTATTCAATATTAAAAAAAAAACATGTATGTAAGTTTTATAAAACGCTTATGGGACATGCGAAAATGTGTGTTTCACAAGTTTCAAAATTAAAAAAAATTATTCTGAAATAACTAAACAAACATTTTCTGAAAGAGTTTACTAAGGGCTTGTTAGGCTTTCACTTGGTTTTTAAATCAATAGGATCCGATAATTTTTAACAAAGTTATTGGAATTCAAACTTACGGACAGCGGAAGGCGGGTGTTTTTTGAAAACGACCCAAATTCCATATTACCTTAAATTCACATTTTTTATAATTTTTTCCTTACAAAATTTGTTTTTATATTTTTTATATTTTTTTTGTAATACAATTGGTTATGATAGGAGCTTTATATTTTTAATTATTTATTATTTTTAGTAAAATACTGTTTCTATCAATGAGTGATTCCAAATAAGATTGGGTGTGTGTATGTACCCTTACTATGTTTCTAACGAAAAATCTCTGGTACTTCCAGGCCTCAATTATCAACAACTGAATTTTAAATTAAATTCAAATTAATGTGCAAAAGCTTGGAACAGATGTTAAATTTTTATTAAGCAAGATTTTATGTCAGTGATTTATTAGCCTCTCTCCAAAACCATATAACTTTTACAATAAATAGGTTAATATATTTTCGTTGACATTGGTTCAGGTTGATCAAGTGTCGTAAAAAATAATAACGTTTGAAAAGTTACAGTGAGGAGTAGATCTGATGGTAATGCCTATTTATAAAATAACTTAATTAATAAGTTTAGTATTCAACTATTCGTTTATGAGTTTCTCACAATGCCTCATAGTTCAGAGTTTCATTAGCCTAATAAATTTAGTGCGTTGTACAACTAATTGTCATATTTATAACTGTCATATAAGATTGCATTGTGGCAATCCATAATATAACTTTATTATGAGAGACCGGGCTTTTATGCCGTTAAAAATAAGTAAATAGTGAGATTTTCTTTGAAAAATAATTTTATACAGACCACATTGTGAAATATATCTTAATAGCAAGTTTTTAAAACGAAAAAATCATAACAAAATTATTAATTTTGCAAAAATCCGGTCTCTTTGTTATAAATATTATTATGTATACATAGTGTCGTCAATTTCTTTACACCCTGTATATACATACCCCTAATATTTCCATTATCAAAGTCAAAGAACGCCATTATAGCCACTGATAGTGAGAGAATGCTGCATATAATGTTGGTCCACATTTCAAATCTTCTAAAATGGTTTCGTTTTTCTAAAACAAACTAAAAAATGATATAAAATTTATACGCAAAATGACGCAAAACGCAATTGATGCTTAAAGCCTGAAATCGTTCAGTACACTGAACCAAAAAGGTACGTAATATTAATAAAAAAGTTATTGGCTTAACGAACTCTGTTTATCGTTTTTCGTCCGATGAACGAGTTAATTGGGCCAACGAATACTTGTACATTAGTCGATGTTTATAATTTTATCACTCAATTAACTTTTTTAATTGGGTTAATAAAAATATTTATTGATTTAATAAATATTATTATCGAATTGATGGATATGTTTGTAGAATCAATGAACTTATTTATTGATGCAATCAAGATATTCGTTCATTCAATCAACAGGTTTATTGATTATATGAAAATATTTATTGATCCAATAAATGGGTTTATTAATCTATGAACACATTCATAAGCTCAATCATTTTTGTTCATAAAATCAACGAACGTATTCATTGATCTAATAAACGGGTTTATTGATCCAATGAACACATTCATTAGCTCAATCATCTAATCAACTCGTTCATTAATCTAACGACACTATTTACACTACTTAATACACTACACTACTTAATAAAAGAATACATTAAAAATAAATAAACATTTATTGTCAAAAATTATGCATTTAACATGATTGCCTTGTTTATGGAATGGAAAAGATGAACAGTTGGTGAAAATATACCATTACATATTATTATACACTAATTTGCAGTGTTGTAGGGCCCATAATACTGCCGCATAACGCCCATCTGAAAATATTGAAACAGTATACGCTGTACATGATACCGGGCTACAATGGTCTCCATCACATTATTAAATTATTAATTAAAATTATTTTAAGTTCACACTTCTATTTAAATTATATTTAGTAGATTAAATTGCGGTTTGAATAAAACAGCTGGTATAAATATTTCACCTTTTATAAAGTTTTAGCTTTTTTTGTTTAATTCCCTGGATATCAACAATAATTATTATCATTGTTTACGGTTTCACGCCTTATTATAAAACCAAACGGTCCAACTGAACATAAACAAAATCTCTACTCATGAGTAGAGATTTTGTTTATGTTAAGTTGGACCGTTTGGTTTTATAATAAGGCGCGAAACTGTAAAATGTGACAATAATAATAATTATTATTGTTACCTGCAAGTGTGTAGAAATTCGCAAATTGTTTCTTCCTAAAATTAGACTTTGGTTTTCATGAGCATGCGTGGAAACAAATATAGCCAAAAATAGCCAAATCCAAATATGGCAGATGCTACAAAATAAATTATTATACGCACAAAAGTATGCATATAAAATTCAAATTATTTAAAAGAGATTATTTTAAGAGAATGTATTATGCTGTCAGAAGTGAAAAAATACCCTGAAAACATAAAACTAATAGACCAAAACTTCAAAAACCAGCGAATATTTCATTTATCAAATGTTTTCTATTTTCTATATTAAGTTGGTTAAGTTTACATCCTAAAAGATACAAACTTACTTCTATGACTTTCATCCTCAATGTTGTCCAGCAAACATTTTGTAGTCTTTTTTTTTAAGGTTACCTGGAACTTTTAAAAAATCAAAAATCCTCTAGAAGCATTCCTCCTAATGGCTAAGTAAGCAGTCGCTCTTGGAAAATGCTTCTTCAAAATCCATATCAATCTAAAATAAATCATCTCGTAATATTACTAAACATTCGATTTTTAATTCATACCTCGTACCAATCGATATCCCTTTGAATTTTTGTATTGAGACAATTTCTGCAAGATTTGTCCACAGTTTTCTGCCATTTCTAGATCGTTTAATCTGTACCATGTCTTATGCATGGTCTTAGGCATGCTTCTCCGTCAGTTTCCGGAACTACAAATTATATTGATTTAACAAAAGTTTTCTAAAAGTTTTTAAGAATATTGAACACATGAAATATGTAAATTGAAATGTACTTACCCTTTGGAATTTTAAACCAGAATATCAACTTAAACTTCACCTTTATAATATAAATCAATTTCTTTGGGTTTTATATTATAAAACCCAAAGAAATTGATTTGCGTAAATAAGTATCGCGAGGGAACCTCTATATCCTTTGCGACGAGACGCCTTCCTTCGCCTAGGTAATTAGGGACTAGACTGAATAAATCTTATAGTGTATTTTGTTAAATTTACCTATGTCCCGGCAATTTTTGTTATAACCAATAAAATCTCTTATATTTTATGTACTGTTTATCAGCTTAGTAAACGCATTTATTGGCCCAACGAATGTATTCATCAGTCAATAAACGTTCGTTGAGTCAATGAATGCATTTATTGGCTTAGAGAAACCCTTATATCAATTAATAATTGAATTCATTGTCCTGACGTACAATTGTTCGTCATATCAATCAAAATATTTTTTTAAACCAATGTACACGTTCATTTATTTATCGAACTGATTCATTGAAATAACGAATGCATTTATTGATTAATGCCTAGTATTCATTGATCTAAAGAATGCATTCATTGATTAATGCCCAGTAGTCATTAATCTAACGAATTTTGTTTATCAATTTACGTAAACGCGCTTGATGTACTATGTTTATTGGCCCAATGAACAGGATTCATTGGGTCAGTAAAAAAAGTTACTGACTTCGTAAGAAAAAAGTAATAAACAGTAATTCGTTAAACCAATAACCCTGTTAATCAACCAAGAACCACTAATAATTGACTTAACGATTATATTCATTGTGCTAATAAATAAATTTCGATAAATAGTGTTTATTGATATTACGAACAAAATTATTTTCAGTGTATGTATGCGTACTTAAATATTTACCTGTAATACCCCATAAGCAAGAATAAGTACGGATGTAAAAAACATTATACAAATTATAAACATCCTCAGAATCCTCATTTCTCGTTTGACATCATGAACAAATATTGTTACATATACACCCATAACTATAGCTAGGATTAAATAAATAGCTATTAAACCATGAAATATTAAACTTGTTTTGGCCCATTTCAAAGTCAAAAATAAATCTGAAAAAAAAATCAAAATTACATATAACGTAAATAAAACAAACAACCACAAATGTCCTCTTTATTTTACAAGCATAGTCCCAATTAATAACCCTTAGGGATACATAAAATAAATAAACAAACAAAAAAGTGCGTGTGCGTGGATAAATTTGATGTCTGTAAAATTTTTCTTCGATCATTTAACTTGTGAAAAAATATATAAAGAAGAATTTTACTAAAATAATAACTTTGATTTATTTTTCTTTTTAAAGTAGTAGAATGTTTTTACTAAAAGGAGATGGCAACAGAGCATATACGACAATGTTATTGTTAGTTTTTTAAACTTGTGAAACACAATTTATTTTGTTAAAAACAAGTGTTTTCCCAGTTATAATCTTTTTGTATAAAAAGTTTGTAATACGATTTGTCAGTAGCTGTCTAAGAAACTCGAGAAAATTTTGATGTTGTTTTTAAACTAACTAAAAAGATCCATGTTTTATTAATATTCCAAAAGATTTATGTTGTGGTAAAAAGAAGAAAAGTTTTTCGTTTTGTGGGTACATTTTTATAAATGGATTAAATTCACATTATGTATTTGTTTTCTATTTTAAATCCTTTTTAAATATATTCAATATTATTTCTTATCTACAAAAACGTATGATCAAAACGATGCATACAATTTTTAAGTCATAAATGCTTCTTTAAAGAATATAAATGATATAAAAAAAATCAAACACATACTATAAGTAAAAAATATCTTTGAATTTTTAGCAAAATACACCTTGTATCAAATTCTATTTTCTTTGCGTTATTTTTGGATGATAAATAAGGCAAAAAAATAAACTACACCTTTCGGCTAATGTTGACATATACTTACCAATAAGTGGATGCTGTAAAACCTCTGTTCTCTCTTCCTCTGAAGCTGAAGCTACCAAGTTACTTATTACCTCCATCTGTCTTTCCGATGTATTCGGTGCCAGTATACCGAAATCTGTAGGAAAAAAACAACACATTTACCACGCAATTGCCATAAATATAAAAGTATTGCTCCCAGCCTAAGGAAATTTAGCATTTTTTTTTTATTAAAAACGTAAATTATTAGACGAGATTTTCTTATCTTGGCAACATTTTTATGTTGTCAGTCGTTACCTTATTTAATAAAAATGTTTTCGAAATTTATTTGGTAATAGCAAAAATATAAGTCATTGGGACAAAAAAAAATTATGTGCCAAGATTAAAATGTTTTTTTCTACTCCCACCTTTAAAACGCCCTTTATTGTACATGTTTCCATGGCACTAAGTGACCTTTTAAATATACATTGACAAGCTGTGGCTTTATGGCGCTTTAGTCACGGGCTGAAGTTAGCAACAGGTTTTTAGTCACGGGTTGAAGTTAGTTTTAAGTTAGTTGACAGTTGTCAAATGTCATACAATCATTAAAATAAAGTGCATCTCTTGTAAAATAATACTAAATGTGAAAATTATATTATTATTTCAATACAAAAATACAAAAGAATTAAATAGTTTCTTAATGCCAATATTTGAAAAGTTTATATGAACATTAGGGCGTTACGTTTTAAAATATAAAAATGGCCGTAAATTCATCAAATATTTGTTAAAAGACTATTTTTTAAGATTCAGCTCTTTTTTTCACTATTTTTTGCGAATTGTTAAAAAAAATGGAAAAAAAAATTTTCATTTAAAAAATTGAACTTTGATGACTCCTACTGGCAAACCACTACGAGTTACACAAAAAACACAAAGACAATTTTGAAGAGCGTGAAATTCCCTAAGGTTCATAAAACCGATTCACAATATTGTAAAGAGCGGGCGAGCATTAGAAATTTGAAAAAAAAACATTTTTTTTACATGCATTTTAAATGGGAAAACTTTAAATTTAAACTGCAAGTACTTAAAATTGATATTAAGAGCTCTACCTTGGTGAAAAGATTTTTTTCTATAGGTAGATTAATATTTTGCTTGAGCACCGAAAAAAAAAAACTTTGCGGAAATGAATCACCCTAATGAACATTGTACTGACCTTTTAATTTCGCCGGTCGTAAACTATAACTTAAATTCGGGCACGGACTCCACTGTAAAGTGCTCATAAAACATTTTCTTTACTTTCACTGTGAAAAACTGTCAATTTTCAAGAAATACATTTCGATTTATAACTTTTATAATCTGTGTTTATAAAATATAAAAATTTTACATTTGACGGTGACACACAGATTCCCCTATTGTTTCATAGATGGCGCTCTAAACAAATTTTTGATTTAAATCATTTTAAGATAATAATAAGTATTTGTCGTAGAAAAAGTATAGTATGCACCTCGTTTATAAACTTTTCTATACACTCATTAATTTAAGCACTCGCTCGCAAGCTCGCTCGTGCCTAAATTAAATTCGTGTATAAAATGGCGTTTATCAAACTTGATACATAATATACTATTATAATCTCAATACAAAAATACAAAATTATTAAATAGTTTCTCAACGCCAATATTTGAAAAGTTTATATGCAAAATTGGTAGTAAACTAGATTTAAGTAAAGCATTAAAAATGTACACATATTTAATTTAAATCATTTTTAGATAATAATAGCAGTTCGTTTATGAACTAAAATTGCGTTTATCAAACTTAATACATAATATACTATTTTAGGTTGCAAAATTTTAAAATGTTAATTGCTAGTGCCTTAAATTCCTGTGATGTAATAAATTGTTAATTAATTAAATAACAGTTTAATTAAGCCTAAGGCAGACGGGTGTTAAAATAACAAACAGACCGAAGGTATTACACGAAACTTAGAAACTAATACTGCACAATGAAAATTATTTCCATCCACTACAGAAACTACATCCCAAACATACGCAGAGAGGTGTTTGAAAATATTTTATAGGCAATTCAATTCAAATTAATTTATAACGTATTTGTGGACGCGCATTTCCATGGGTTTTAGCCACTTTACATGCAAAACATGCTAATTCCATTAAAACTACATGCAATACTGGAGTTAAACAAATACTGGATATTTATTCTGCTCCGGCAATTGTAAGGGATAAGTTTAAAAATTTTTATCGTTTTAATTAAGTACATTTTTATGTAATTACTTCAGTCAATATTGCCTTGAAACAAAGAAAATTAAGTTCATAGTGGAAAATGTATCACAATAATTAAAAAACTTTTTTACAAATAGTATACACGGTGCTGTTCTGAGAAGTGATTTTCAGACTTTCTGAGAAACTTTTTTTTTTTGTAAAATTCTTTTTATTTATGATGTAACTAAGAATTTAAGAGCAAAATTTTTAAAAAACCACGGTTACACTCTTAGAAAAAACCTGGTATTTGTAACTAACTTATTATCGTTGGGGTAAAACTGTTGCAGAAAATAAAAATTTTTGTTTTTTGTAATCAGTACCTTTATATGTGTAACTGCTTGCATCATTACCTGAAAAGATTTAGTTTTGTTGTTGAGTATTATTTACTGCAAAAAGGCGATTAAGTTATTTTAACTGAAACTTTGTGTTGGCCAGAAGTATTGACAACATTATCTCAAAAAAATCATTTCGGCGGTAAAATGTTTTTGTTGGACCAAATATTTAAGTAACATTCTCAACTGACTGAAATTAGTCCGTGGAACTAACGGTTCGGTTGTATAAACTATGCGTCACTTTTCACACAGCTAAGACACCAGCGGTGTGAAATAATGTGTCAGTTGGGGATGTTGTCTCTGTAGGTTAATGCAACTGCAAACTTTGTGCATTTCGCGCGCGATTTGTCCAGCCCGGCGCGTGCTTTACTTTTAACCTGTAAACAAACGGTGTTGTACGGCGTCCAGACTTCGGTGGTGTTTGTTCTTTTATATTTGTGTATCAGCTCGTGTGTAGTGTATATTTTAGGTAAGAAACTAGTTTATTACAATTAGTCATTTGCCCCTGTAAATTCAGTGGCGACATACTTTTTAACTATTCTTATGTGTTGGTTACTTATAGATATCTCGAACAAATAATATGGATGAGCGGACTGAAAAAGCAGATTTATTAGGAACATGGGGTTTACCTGAATTGGTTCAAGTTTTTAAAGGTTAGGTATTATTATTGCACTCCTTTAATTACACTATTGTAGTTTTGGGGTCCGAAAAAAAATCCAAAAATGTGAAAATGCCATTCTGACTGAAAATGGCCTCCTGAATCCAATGGTGCCCACCAAAAGTCTCCATCACGTCGGAATTTCGAGAATTTTTTTGTTTTGTTACAGCTCAAGTCGCATTTTTGGTATAAGGCCTATACTATAGGCACTCACACTCAAAATTTATCGAATGCTTACCCCTGTTATCATGCAAGTATGTTACGTTGTACCTAAGAATCATTGTTAAGTTGTTAAACAAAGGCTTGCACTTCACGTAAACATCACGGTTTACTGAAGAAGTATAGTCAACTTTCATCTTAATGTACCTATCTGTGTATATTTACCAAAGAATCGTTTTTGTTATAATGTTTAAACCAAAATTTGGTGTTTTCAGTTATATTGTTATTTTTTAATTTATAATAAATATTTATAAAACGAACGGGCATGAATTTCCCTTCTCTATTTTTGATAATATTTACACAAAAAGTGTTATATTTACTAAGCAGGTATGTACTGTGGAATAATACCAATTTGTTGTTGCTACTAATGCAAGCATATGCTAAATATTTAATATTAAATATAACTTAGTATAGTTACAGTACAAAACAAATTTATATTATATTAACTATTAAATTCTTTAAATGTACCTTTTTTCATGTAATTTCAATTAAAAAATAAATTCCTGCATGATACAATGTTTGTTGCGATAAATAGCAAGTGCAGTTGTTACAACTTAAACGCTGCTAAAATGACAGACTAATGTGATTGCATTAAATATCAATTATTTGTATGAAAAAAAAACTAATTTCGATGCACTTAAACTTGTTGGTTGGAGCTACCAATATTGGCTGTTCCGACAACAAACTGCAAAAACAAATTTGTATTGGTTCCCACAACATATTTTTTTGTTGTGCCTATTTTCACTAATAAAATTGGTTCTGGGAACTAAATTTTCATTGCAAATACCAGGTCTTTTCTAAGAGTGTAGTTTGTTTTAGTTTGATTTTTATCAAGAATATTGTGCCCTATTTTAATTGATTGATTAAACGAACTTACCTAAGTGAAGTTCAATCACAATTATGATCCGCCTCGCCTGAAATGATCACTTATATGTAATAACCCTCAGTTACGCGCCAATCTCGCACAATTTAAAGCAAAATTCAAATTTCGTTCCAACTCCATCGCTGGCGCCCTCATCGGTACGTCAAATCATTATTTTTAAAGCCCTATGAGTCGCAACCCAGAAATGATCCGGGTGGGGTGAAGTTAAAGAATGAATGGGAAGGGAGTGATCATTTCAGGCGAGGCGGATCATAATTGTGATTGAACTTCACTTAGGTAAGTTCGTTTAATCAATCAATTATAATCCGCCTCGCCTTCATGATCACTTATATGTAGATGTTCAGAGGTTCAGGTTGTGACTCTATCCAAGCACGGTGGGAAATGAATAAAACTCATCAAATTATTAAAGTAATTATTAAAGTAATTATTATCTGGTGAACAAAGGTAATATAAATCAAATAAAACTCTGTTATTAATAACCAAGTATTCCTTAGCTTGATAAGGTTTAACTAAATATTATTTTCTATAATAGCTTTCGCGAAAGTTCCCTTAGTGGTTAAAGGTCTTTGGTAAAATCTAGCAAAAACCGCAGAGTCCTTGGACCAGCCTGCAGCCCTACGAATCACATCTAGCGAGACTCCTCTACGATCAGCGGCGGAGACTGCCGCATGCCTGGTGCTATGGGCGGTAAACTTGTTTATATCTAGACCGCTGCTTTTCATAACTTGCTTAACCCATCGGCTCAAGGTCTGTGTTGAGGCCGCTTTATGGGGTTTCTTGTATGTCACAAATAAATGT